GCATTGTCAGTGAGCTGCTATGATTTTTTGATATGGTAACACACCATAGCTGCTTCCTATCTGATTTGGCCACCACTATCGCACCACTGTACACTTTAATATGAAAATACGCCAAGTGGCGTTGATCAGCTAAAGTAAAAGATGTCTTTCGATGCTATCAAAGCAACCATGGATAAGGCTAATCTATGCCTACATTTTGATTCGTGGCAGCCTACCACTTTCTGATGTGTCGCCTCAGTATCAGGGGTCGGAGTCGTACAGTCCCATTAAACGGATAATCAGGCTGAGATTCATCGCTTTTGCCTTTAGGAGCATGGCGCCGGCGGAACAAAACTATTCACAACTAGATGAGGTGGCGTTAGCGGTTACATTAGGTGTTAAGAAATCTCACCGTTATCTTTGGGAAATAAGTTTTGAAATGTTTACTGATCATAAACCTCTATCAGCCTTGGTTGGTTAACATAAAGGAACTAACCAAATGTCATCTTCCCGTAGACAACGTTAGGTTTTGTTATCGGATTACAATTACACTATTATGTCCATGGAAAAGCGAACGGCATTGCGGATGCCTTGAGCCGACTGACTTTGAATAATCTGCCCGCTGGTTGATGGGAACCGACTGAATTATGCTATTCAATGCATACATTTGACTAAGAAGCCGGTGTTGAACGCGGATATCCGCCGCGAGACAGAGCGTTTTGTCCTCCGCTGAAACTTTAAACCATTGGTCTTCCATGGATGGTCGGATAAATGTAACCCAGAATTCATAAATAATCCTCATTTGAGTCAGAAGTAAGCAAATGCGCGAAGAATATTCTTTTCGATAATTCTCATCAGGCGTGTACGATTATGAAGCAGAAATTTTGGAATGAATAAAGCCCGTAGAGGTCTGTACAGAGAGCAACCAACTCATTAACTGGGCAATAAGAAAACTAAATCAAACCTTTGGTCAATCAGATTGTCGCATTAGGATGCAGGTGATCAACAGGTCAAGTTCAAGCCCAAGGTAATTTCAGAGTCTGTAGCAATGTGCCCTGTTTGTACAGCTGTGGTTTTAGAACCGTGATAGCATTGGCTACAGAAATGCTCAACATATGTATTTTAAGCTGTTTTGGGTAACGTTTAGGGATAGTATAAACGACTCGAAACGGCTGGTTCATGTGGACTTGGTGTCCAGTGTCGACCAAATGTTGTAATACGGAACTGTTGATGTGTTTTACGGTGACTTTTCGTAGTGACGCAGGACAATGTTCAGAGATTCTTTTGGACAAACACCTTTTCGTATGTTCAAGATCCCTATCACCACAGGTGCAGGTGAACCCAGAATTGTTGCCTCACTTTACCCGGCTACAGGATTATACTTGGAGGATGACTGTTTCATATGGAGGTCCAGATGTATTATAAAACATCGGTTATGACAGTATGTGCTGGAGGAAATGCACAAAGCTCATCCAGGTATTACCAGAATGTAGGTGTTCAAGCCGTCTTATATGTGATGGTCCAGCATTGAAAGCCCCATAGAAAGATCGATCAGACACTTGTAAACATGTTAAAGTACACAAAGAAACACTCCACTCGTGCCACTGAGTCCACGAAAATGACTGGCAAACAATGGGAGCGCATACATGCTGAATACTTTGGTACGCATGATAGCAAGACGTTTCTTCTTATAGTCCATGCCTAGACCAAATGGAATGAGGAGTTTCTTCTGACACACGCCACTCCAGAGACAACGGTTTCCTGAATGCGAATATGTTGTAGCATATTCGGTATTCTACAAACTCTAATGACAGCCAACGGCTCTGGATTGACTAGACAACAGTTTCATATGTTCCTGCAAAATAACGGCATCAGGCCTGTTGGCGGCATCCCCTTAACACCCAGCCTCGAATAGATTATCAAAAAGAGAAGTTCAGAGATTAAAAAAGGAGTTTCAGTAAGATTCCCTTGATCCACTCTGAACGAAAGTGGATAAAGTTGTATTCATTTACCGCTTCCACTTTAAGCAAAACGACAGTCAAGTGTCTAGGTGTTGATATTCGACCGAAGGCTTAGGACGCGGCTAGACCTACTACGCATCGAGGTGCAGCAAGAGAAGAATTGCAATGGAAAATTATTTGATCGACAACTTTGTGAGGACGAGCCAGCTTACATTAACACCCCCCAAGAACCGACTAGGCAGCATGCAGAATAACGCGAAATCGAAAGCCCGAGTGCGGAGGTTGCACTACTGGACGGCAAAATGGTTACCCGTCATATGGATCACGTCCGCCGTCATTTCGTTTCTATAATGCCAGACGATCTATTGCCAAGCCCCTCAACAGAACCAGTAATCGCGGAGGCCACAAATACCACAAGTCAGCCGAAAGCTAAACCAATACGCCGTTCAACTAGAGTCCACTGTGCAGTTGATCGTTACTAGGCAGTCTGGAGGAGTGCCAAGTAAAGGAGGAGGAATGTGGCGTCTGAGTCACCAGCGCTAATCCTTGTTCACACCAGCGTCGGCCATGTGTCTGTCTATCGATTACCCACTCACTGACGGCTTGGTTTCAGTTACTTGATCGATGCTCTGTGCCCGTTCTAGCCAGAATACAGGTTTGCGCGCTGGCAGCCGGTTGTGATCTGTTGCCTTTGAGTCGTTCGACTATGAGCCATTATTGCGTTCGCAGTATAGCATTACTTTTGCACGTGTAAACTTTACCATTAAGACGGCCACAAAAAGCCTGCAACTATAAGAGGGACCATGGGTGGTTTGCGCTGCACCATCCACACACCGCAAATCCAGTGTCAACCCCAAGAATTAAGACCAGTAGGGATATGGAAGTGAGCTATTCCTCCACGGAGGCGGCCCGCAGTCCTCCAACAAGCAGAGCAGAAGTAGACACGCCTACCTGGGGAATCATGCGTACCCGATATACATAAGGCGGTGGCTTGGCCGTAGCCTGCTCTACATTGGTTGCATGGAACCACTCTTTGAGGCTAACACGGCTACGAGGACCTAGCACCCCGTAACATCCAGCAAAGTCTAACGGTCTCCTTGGGACAGTATAAGCGGGGTGGTGGGTAATAAACGGGTATGCGCCTTGTCAACATCCATATCAAGCGCAGCCAAGCAGCGGCCAACAACTGCAATATATAAACGCAGCATGCAGGCACACGTGCACATTAACCGCAGCGATGATGTAGCATATGTACCACCTCAGCGTCATCAGTGACCTGGGGTAGTAAATTGTTTTGGAAGCAGCGAACTTACCAAGCGCTGCGCTGAAGAATACTTCATACTTAGCTTACTTGTCTTCTGTTGGACGTTCGCCCAAGGTGGCGATGCTGTTGGCTTAGTAGGTCCTCTTGTCTGTGGCACTCGCGACCGCATTTGCCACAAGATGGTCTATCCACAATCAATGCCAGTTGCGTCCTCAACCGACGTATCTTTCCTGCATGCAGTGGTGACTTCTTATGCACCTGGGCAACCGCCTTCTTGATTTGCTCCTAGCATCAACACCGATCTAATTATGTCATAGACAGATGATGTCGCAATGAAATCGTCTATGGTAACCCTGCATGCTTAGGTTTTCAGTGCTAAGCTTGAGCGCGGCCCATCATCGGGTCCCTGAATTCCTCCTGGAAACACCAGGATGATACTGTTATCATCGGGGATGCAATCGTTGATGCTGCATTTCTGTTGGATCAACTCATTTGCTCGCACTCCTATTTACAGTTTACGGACGATTTTGAAACCGAAGGATATTGGGCTTTCTATAACATAATGTTAGGCAGATGGAAGAACGCTTCACTCTATAGAAGCATCTTCAGAAAACATGCGTGGTCAAACCAATACATCAAGCTTCGTAGTATTGTACTCCTTAATTATACCGGAACATTGTTACCTTTATTATAGTGTTAACAAACTTCACAGTCCAGAAATATTGGATACAGAGAAGGATAGCATTCTACAGACACTGCAAGCTAAGAGAACCCCTACTGTTTTATTCGTAGGAGCTCTGTGATCTGTGACCGAAGAGCGACGATCACAGCAATGACGAGAATATATGTCCATCCTGTGTTCATTTTCAAAAGCGATGTTCCCCTTGAGTAACCAAACAGCGGACTCTACAATCTAGTGACCTGCTCACTCCCAGTTGCCTGCCAACTTATTTTGGTGAACACTGTTCTCTATGGTACATGGGTCTCAAGCATTGACTCAGTCCAGTGAGAATTAATTATCCTCCTTCATTTTACTTGCATCCACGATGTTAGAAACTTTAGATTTAAGGCCAAGCTCCTGGTTTTAGCAAAACACTGAACAACATCGTTGTGGAAAAGCACCGCCAGAATTGCCAACAGCCCCATCCTGGAATACACAATCCAAAGCGCATATCGTGGTGTGACCATCAACTCTTTCAAAGCTTCTCATGTTGTGATAAAACGCTACTCACAGGGGTTTGGAGTCCGAATACATCGCTATTATGCTTGTGTAACTGGAACTGTGCAAGCAGAAGGCGCTGGTGTATGGGTTACATCTACCTTGGCCATGAGTTCACCGCGAATGTCACTTATCTCGATTGCAGGTGGTAATCCACTCGTCATTGTCACCGCATCAGGCGGACGAACCTTATTCCACTTAGTTTGCAGTTATGCGTGCATAGGTATGTGAGCGACCGTAACCATCGAGTTGAAAGTCGGATTGATAGACGATGCAGCTGGATAGGAATTAGTCAAACGTGGTTTAGCTTTAAAAGCCAACTGAAATGTTTTATCTAAGCAGTGGCCTGATGAAAAGGGTTGTAAACAAAGTTCTTTGGTTTCTTATGTGGATGCATATCACAACACAAACAATAAAAATGTGTCTGACGTTATTATTGCGGTTTGGTTAGAAAGCCTTCCAGTCACTCCTTCTCAACAGACCAACAGCAAATTTGAAATATATGTTGATTTGTATAAGTGCGTACACGTATTTTCCGCACATCACACTAAAAAGATGGCCATTAAATTGGACTCACTCAAAAAGTACACCAAATGTCCCTCCTCAAAAGTTGGTGTGTATTGCATTTCAGAGAAACGGGCCACTTTAAGGATGAACTCCAGTTTAGGGACATTGGAATTTTGGCACTCCAGCAGCTTGACCATTTCGGAAGTGTGATGAGGTGCACACGATTCGAACGTTTCGGCTTTCATAGTCTAACAAAGTCAAAAGGATATTATCGAAGAGTAAAAAAGCAGCTTAATTCAGTGATTTAGGGAGAATCCACTTGATCTATGATGCAAATATGACTGTGTTTAGCAAGCTTGAGGACTGACGCATAGACCCTGAGTGTGTGCACTAAAGCTTGAATGCTTCACAATTGGTCTGCGACGTTTGTCACCATTACTCGCCTCATAATGACGTACTGCAAAGCACCTCGTCTTACTTAGTAGCGTGTCGTTGTACCAGTTTAGCGCTCCGTTGCCTTGTAAAATTTGGTTTTCATTTCTTTTCGCACACTCACCGCCATAAATTAAGTTGATCAGACTCCTCCCAACGCTCTAGCTACTTCGAGCATACGCATTACGGATTAGAAAGTTTGACCTAAGTTCAAGCTTTTTCATCTTCCTGCTGGAGCGCACGCGCACAATATTGTCGCCTTGCTTCTTCCATCACAAATTCTGACCTTATCTAGAAGACATCTTAAGGTCCGGAACCATTTATACCAGTGACTGCATAGGACAGCTTCAGGTAATTCAAAGCCAAGCGTTACTCGCGGATCGCAGTAACATAGTGTTCAGGGTGTCAGCCGTGAACTACTAAGCTCTGAGTTCCACCCCAGAGCAGGCTATCTCCACGTGACGCGTTCAAACCAGGATGAAACCGCGGTTGTGGTGTGCCAGTGGTGGAAAGAGCCACACCCAAATATTTTCACAGCTGTAGGTAAGCTTTGGAGCCCCGTTATTTTCACTGGCCGACGACCAAAAAGTGCCTACTATCTACAGCTGCTACCCAGCGTCCTGAGTGCACTCTACCAATACCTGGAACTGGCCGATAACTCGTGTATAATTGTCCAGCGGGCTTCGCTGATCTGTGGCTTTGATGTGTGCGTTTTTCGAAAGGATGACTCACGAACCTGTCCCCCTAATCAGATTAAGCGCTGAAACAAAGTGGAACTTGAAGCCATTGGTGTTATCACAAGATATAGAAGTTTCAATGATTTTATTAATTGCCCAACCTCCCGTACTATGTGCTATCTCAGTGTCTTTGGACAAGCAAATCTGACATTTTCTCATACGCTCGCTATTTCTAACTATTTTTCATTATATTTCAAATTAGTCAGTACGTACTGGACTACTGTGGCGTGATCATTCATAAGGACTTCGAAGAATGGTGTACGGAAGACTCGAAGTAAGAGCAAAATATACGCTACGTCCATCGTAGGGAGGCCAAAAGCGTTATCTGAAATACCAACAAAATTGACGTTGCTATTGCTCAATTCAGAGTAAAAATTAAAAGACTTGTCTACAGTTGCCTCTGTGGAAAGACTATCTTTTATATGTGAATCACTTCTGTAAGCTTGAACAAGTATCATGAAGTAAGTATTACAGTTATGTACGTAATTTTTACTGGGGTGCACAATCAGATAAGATGTTTGATAAAGGCAGTGGCTTTTAATGTGTCTGAACAGTTGACAAGCAACAAGGTTCAAAACGTTTTGCTCGAGGCGAATGACATGGAACCTTATTGGGGCAGATGCATCCGACTGCTGAAAAGTGTTACAGGCTGTGCATGTAGCAAACTGCACTGGTTTGAATTTTAGTTTGCAGCTAACGATTTCATCAAGAAGCGTAGGGTAATGCAATTACAGAACCCTTTGAGAAAATTAAATATAGTCAAAAATAACACCAATAAAACGAGAAATTTAATGCAAGTAAGTATTCGGGAAGTTTCAGAAAGCTGACAGCTGGATATTCTGTAAGCGAAACCTTTACTTCAGAGTTATCAAAATGGTGGTCTACGACTGAACGGCTCTGAAATACGATACCATGTTGTTACATGAATTAGTAGATGCTATCATCGAAACAAGATGGACAGTAACCACTTCTAATCAGGTAAATATAGGTTTTATGTACCCGAAAGTGTGCATCTTCAGAATTTTCTAATAACTATCGTAGATGGAAAAAATGACAAATTTAAAATACACATTTAACAATGTAAACATTCGCATCGGGTGCACTAATTTCATCCGAATACGGTCCCGTTTATATATGTAATAAATTTCCTTAGGCATTTGCTTTCAGTGGAAGTTAGTGTGTCAGATCCCAGTCTGACAATCGGGAAGATGGCTCTTTAATTTATCAAAGCGCCTTTGATATATTTACGCGTATCAAGCGTTGCATCACAAGGCACTTTTTAAAAGCAGCGCAGTACCGACCTAGTGACCTTGAAATAGTATAACCGAAGAAAATGTCAATACGATCCGGTGAAGACTATGAAATCCGCGGCAGATAAAGTAAAAACGGTGCTCCTGTGAAGTGGCGGTTAGACTCAGTTCTAAGGGATAGTCAGATTTGGAAACAACTGACTAATATCTAAGCCTAACAAGGTTACAAATGATAGAGCAATGCAAACCCATTTCGAGGGAATGTCGCACATATATTCCCACAAGCCACCTGGTAAGCCGCTTTATTAACCGCGTCAAGAGTTGACACTAGCTCCACTCGCAGCAATATGGCTAGAAATAATACATAAACCCATAACGTTTGTGTAATCAATGGTAGAGACATTGCTGTAAATTGCAGAATAGCAGCAACCCAAACAACATCTTTATGGTTTGTCCAAGGCTTGACAGGTGGTAGTCGTTCAGTAAATCGATCCAGCAGATACCTAACTCCTAATGTTATTCCGAGTCCCTCCGACACTGAAAATGAAGTTGAAGCATGAGGTTGACTTAGAAAATTCTGACTCAACGCTGGGCAATAAAACTGTGTTACTATGGCTTTAAAACAGTGGGTAACCTTTAGCCATTTCGTTAAGGCAGAGAGAAGACAGAGGTTGCGATATATCAACATTTCGATTGTTCTCTTCAGTTGCAAACACAATATGAGCAGAAACACACAAGGGATTATATACATGGAAAAAATAGGCACTACTAATCAAAATGTCACAGTCAAGACCATGGCATCCGACTTGATTACCTCACAAATTTCTGTGCACAAAGCACAGGTTGATAGGCATTTATTAACAACGCCTCACTAACTGCCACCATTATCAGGTTTTTGTTACGTAATCACACTTTGAACGCTATCTCGGCGTCCACGTGATGACGGGTTGTCATGAGGGGCTTGGTGATAGACGGTGCCGGGCTCCGATTAATTCTCAGCTTCGTCCCATTTTCGTGGTGTAATCACTTGTCCCAACCACTATGGCAAATGTTCAGCTACCCTCTGAGCTAACTGACGGTTTGTTCTGCCTATGTAAATGTCACCGCAACCGTAGGTGAACTGATAAACAACGTGAGAGGCCGAACTACCCGACGAGATGCTCTGACGGTTATGAAGAACAAGTGCTCGCGTCGTATGCCTGAGTCGCAACTGGGCTGTCGTGTAGGTTCGCGTTAGGGCGGACCGGAGCTTGCGTCCGATATCATTTTCAACATGGTCTCCCATGAACGGCAAGAACAAATAAACATCGTTTTTCTCAGCCGTCAAAACCGGTGTTTGCACGCTGGGACGTCTGCTGTTTACCTGAAGCTTCAACCCTCGGCCCGATCGCATACAAACGCAGCTTAGTAAGAACTGTCTTCTACCGGGCTAGACGTATTTGCAGCTTCGAAACGTTACAAGCCAAAGAAGATTTTCTACGCAAGACCTTAATTTCTAATGGATATCATGAGAAGTTTAATCAGGTACACAGCAGACCTCCCAGCGTGCGAACGCCGGTTTTGACGGCTGAGAAAAACGATGTTTATTTGTTCTTGCCGTTCATGGGAGACCATGTTGAAAATGATATCGGACGCAAGCTCCGGTCCACCCTAACGCGAACCTACACGACAGCCCAGTTGCGACTCAGGCATACGACGCGAGCACTTGTTCTTCATAACCGTCAGAGCATCTCGTCGGGTAGTTCGGCCTCTCACGTTGTTTATCAGTTCACCTACGGTTGCGGTGACATTTACATAGGCAGAACAAACCGTCAGTTAGCTCAGAGGGTAGCTGAACATTTGCCATAGTGGTTGGGACAGGTGATTACGCCACGAAAATGGGACAAAACTGAGAATTAATCGGAGCCCGGCATCGTCTATCACCAAGCCCCTCATGACAACCCGTCATCACGTGGACGCCGAGATAGCGTTCAAAGTGTGATTACGGAACGAAAACCTGATAATGGTGGCAGTTAGTGAGGCGTTGTTAATAAATGCCTATCAACCTGTGCTTTGTGCACAGAAATTTGTGAGGTAATCAAGTCGGATGCCATGGTCTTGACTGTGACATTTTGATTAGTAGTGCCTATTTTTTCCATGTATATAATCCCTTGTGTGTTTCTGCTCATATTGTGTTTGCAACTGAAGAGAACAATCGAAATGTTGATATATCGCAACCTCTGTCTTCTCTGTTCTTTAACCAGGACTTTAATCTGCAGACGCCAGATACCGACGGTGTAAGGAGCGTTATGATGGCCGCGAATTATCATTCCCTATGCATATTTTCTGGTTTCATATAAACTGCACATTGTGAATAATATGTTTGAGGTATATCTAGACAAATGTTATCTTTTTAAGCCCAATTTCCTGACGGTTGTGTAAATTTGCAAAACTTATATATGCTCGGCTTCACTGATAGACAAGGACAACCATCTTTAATTAACGGTGATGATTACAATCAGTCATCCGCGATTAATCTGCCCGAACTTCAGTTTAGTAGAGCGAATTCGCAGGTGTGTTAACATTATAAATCACAGTCTCACAGTGTCGAAGTTGACACTAATCATCGCATTTTTCACATTCTATACACCACCACCACCACGGCAAATGTATAGTTAACTAAATCATTTTTCGTTTGGCGATGCAGTAACTTGTCTACCGTCTTCTTACCCTTCTCTTATTCATGTCACGGCTATAATCTCTATGCATGCATTATTCAACATTTTCAGATACAGTGTTCCAATGCACCCCCGACCTCCAACCGCGTGTCTCCGATCCACTACATCATAT